ACAAATTGATTCAAATTATGTATTTTATAATTATTTGCATTCCATCCACCGCACAAGAAGGTGTTTTTCCGTGTTGATGTTGTTGTAGTTGCATTGATTCTTGCATATTTCAATGAACCAATGAATGGAACATCTGTTCTTTTATCTACACCGATGAAGACAAAACGAATGGTATTATTAGCTTGCATTTGTCGAGCGAGTGCTACTGCATAGATATATTGATCTGAATCGTTGTAGCTAAGTGTGCAAGTGAGCGAAGAGTTAAAGGGAGCGAGACGGAGCAAAAACGAGTCTTGAGAAGGAAATGATTCGACGAGAAGTATATCATTAGCGGCGACCTTAAGACCATAGGCATCGAAGGAGAATTGATCAGATGAAAAGGAAGTGACAATCGTAATAATGAAAACTAAATAAAGAGCAGGATGATGGTGCTGCAAGATCATGCTCGAGTTATGCTTCACAATTGAAGTTGATCAACATCACTGAAATAGTAAAAGAAATGTACTCAATACGCGCAACATATTGCCTTCTCTATTAAGAGCTCTATCTGAATTTAATTGATGGAACAATTAAAATGCTATAATGCATATACGATGAGATCAATATAGTGGTTGTTACTTTTCTTTTTTTCTTTCTTTCCTATACGTCTCTATCGATTCTGACGATGATTTAGCATATGATTTACAAAAAAAGCCATTAACATGAAACAAAAATTGAAAGAGAAATAGTTTTTAATCGACTTTGTAATGAGAAAAATATTACTATTTCGCTTACTAAGACCAAAATATGGAGCTCTTGTGCAAACGAGCAAAACAACGAATATGAGAGAAAGAAAAGATTAGTAATAATCGATCCACTAAATGTAAACGGTATTTTGTTCCAACGTTAGCCACCATTTTTCTTCATATAATTATCAAATACATCTTAGTACTGTACTCTCTTTTTTTTCTTTCCATTAAGTCGTATACTCGCAGATAATGCATGTTTACGCGCACTCATTTCTTTCATTCGTTGCACTATTAGCCATTTCTATAGGGTATACGCACATAACTTCTTTATCATAAATGCCATTCTTTCTTCATAAAAACGCTGCTTTTCAAAACTGAGCGAAGGTGAATGATAAGAAAAAGTGAAACTCTATTCTTTTCTTAAATCAGTGAAGCAAGCTTTCTGGGGTGTGGGTGTGGTTAAGGAAAAGACTCATATCCACACCCACATCCTTTTTTGCAATTGAAAATGTCGAAACGTTCACCCGTTTTGGATGATAAAACAAGAGTGTGGATGTGAGCATCAATGAAGAGAAGGCTCACACACCCATACCCACACCCTTAATTAAATATTCAAAGAAGAACTTCGAAATATCCGATCTTTTCAATCAGGATCATTTATATACTCATTATACTATTTCGTATTTAGCAATCTCTGTTCGACTTTTTGAACAAAAAAGCACAAATATCACTAGGTTATTTTATTTGATGTTGAATAAAATTTCGACAAAAAAAAAAGTTGATTAATAATTAATATTACCACCAAAGATAAAAATTTCGATCTAGAATTTTTATAGAATAATCATCAGACAGATTTTTTGATTCAATTAGAGTTTTCAATTTTTTATTCCATATTGTATTTATTCCAAAAATACATAATGAAGATAAATGACAAGTAGTTCTCTTAGTTTCTAATAATAAAAATTGAACAATTATTTCAAGACAACTATCAGTCATGCCAATAGTCAGTTGTTGCAGTTTAGGACAAAGATTCATGAATAATTTAATTTTGCGCAATGAATAGTCAAATGAAAAAGTTATACTTTTTATTTTATTTTGATTTGATACTAATCGAAATTTTTCGCTTTCTTGTAATAGAAAGTAATCCGTCTCGGAAAGTGATAATTGTTTAAAAACTAATGTATGAACGTTTGGTGTACAATATAAGAGATCGACTAATTTATTAAAAGGACGATGACTATAATCGATAGTTAATTTAGTAACCTGTATCATAGAAATAATGCCATCGATATTATAAGTTGAATCCCAGTGAGAACAACTAGCACGTCGATTGAAGATAGTGAGTTCATTGACGTTTGGAAAATATTTTGAGGTGCCGGCAATTACCCTTTCATCTTGGATGGTTACATGATGAACGGAATCAAAAATTGTTTTTTCATGACAAGTATTCTTGTCTAAATTTGGTTCATCAGTTAATGTGAAGTATTTTCGTCTTTAAAAATGAAAATAAAATATACATATGATATTCTTCAACAAAATGTATCTATCTTTACCTATATGGTTTGATCGAATAGAAGATTCCATATGGTGGACTATCAAAATTATTATCATATGTGAAGAACCATTGTCGTTCCAACCAAAAAGAAGAAGTGAACTTCTGAAATAAATGTAGATATATATTTTCATATTTATTACGATAGAATAGTTCGTATTTATGTTGAAAATCAAAGATATGTAAATGTGGCATATGAGACAAAATGATTTGTTTCCATCGAGTGGCATTTAAATACGCTGTGTCATAGTTTGAGGAAATATACAGTACTTTAACTCGACTGAGATATTGTTCAATAAATGGCTCAAATTGATCAAATAATAGATCTTTCAATGTCAGCGAGACATGTGTTAAATTATTTAAAATAGTCGAGAATTCATTTATTCCATGTTTGTAATATCCATACAAATAATTAATTGATAGACGACGAAGTTGAGGAACATATGATAAAAGGGCATCAATGATAACGTAGTGACATGCACCATTGATAATGAGATGTTCAATAGAATTTGATGCTTTTTTGGTAGACCTAGGTAATGATTCGAAAAAAACGTTTTCTTCGAAAGTCATTTTGCAATATTTTAAGACTGGTAATTGAAATATTAGATCATAAATAGTGTTTGTATTAGAACCCTTCGCAATAGGAATAGCCAATGATGAAAGATTCGGTAAAGAAGCTAAACTATGAAGAAGATTTTCCATATGCTCTGATTCAAATATGTCAAGAATAAGTGTACGAAGTTGAGAACATTTTGAAAGATGTTCTGTTGATGAAGAAAAGAAATCAATGATGAATGGATCTGATAAACAAAGTGATTGAATTCGATGTTTCTTAGGCATAATCAATTGAGTATAATAACGTTGAAAAGTCGATTTAGATAAAGATGAAATATTGATATTAATTGGAAGATTTGAATGAATACAAAGATTTTGAAATCGTGTATTGAGATCAAGAAAAGCTTCATAAATGTGATAAGAATCAAGAAACTCGAAAATTTCATAGATAAGTTCATTTGAAAGATCTTCAAAGTGATTGATTAAATTTCTTAAATAAAATGAAAGATAATATGAACAATCGATATGTTTACGATCTACTCACTGGTCTCTATTGATTGTTGTTGCTAAAGAAATAAGAGAAATTTGAAATTTTTTTGTTGTACTATCATCCGTTATAGTGTTTTGTTGACGTTTTTTTTTATTCATATTGAAATCAACGCAAAAATCATATAATGATCAAATGTTACCCTAAGAATACTGTTATACTCACATAGATAAGAAAATTTCATATGGTTGCGCAAGAACATATCGTTATCGCTATTACTATAACAGAATGGAAAGAAAAAGACAAGTTATACGAGTCACATGTATCATGATCCGTATAGAATTAATAGGGCTATGAATCATAACTGAGATGCTATTCTCTAATATGAATTCTGAAAAACATAGTGGAAGTCTTTACCATCATTCTTAGTTTTTTTTTATTCAAAATAACTTCATACATAATTATTGGAAATGAGCAAATAGTAATGATTTCATTAATATTCTATCATTTTAATGTTCCTTTATAAAAATAAACCAAAATGCTTCGATATTGATTTGATCTGTTCCAAAATGATTTCCATATATATGTTGTGGGCACAATTGACGGAGGACAAAAACCAACTACAAAATCTCGATTTATCACAAAAATCGTCAGAATTATCGCGAAAAAAAATCGGTGATTTATCGCTATTCAATGCACAATTATTGTTTCAATATATCGCGATTAATCGTCAATTCTTTGGTGATTTCGAGGATACGGAATGGCTTTCTTTAAGTGACGAGTAAGTAACATAGAGTCATAACGATTTGCACTAGTGTGGCAGATTGATTTATTCTCATCTTAATCTGTCGGTTATCAATGATACAAAATACAGAAGCGAAGAAAAGAGTATAGAATCAATTTGAAATACAAAATGCAGATAACTTTAATATTATTGTTGATTATTCTCAAGTAAATGCTCTTCTTTGAATTCACTTCAAATATCGAATTTTTGTTATTGATTGTAGTTTATCAGGTATGTTTCAATGATGATTAACAATATCTTAGATCTGTTCGTTATCAACTAGATTCACTTGAAGTTCAACAATGTCAAAATACATCACCTTATACACAATGTTCACTGAATCCGTTTTGTGGATGTCTTCAATTAACAACGAACAGCAGTCTTAGCATATGTGCATCCCTTCATCTTGCCTGTTCCTCATTAATATCATGTGCAAAGAATAATCAAATGTGTTATCAACCAAATCATGTGTGTGTAAAGCATGACAAATGTCATAAAAGTCCATTATGCTATCCGTTGAATTTAGCCTCTCAAATGATATGTCCATCAATACGAACAGCAACATGTGATAATTGATGAGAATGAAATGAGAAAGTTTCAGTTGTTTTTCCTGTTTTCTAGCACCATCGATTTCAGACGATGGTATTTGTGCAAGTGCAACTTGGAATCAGAATGGTATAACAGCGGCTGGAGGAAATGGTCAATGATCAGAATTGAATCAATTAGATTATCCTCTGGGATTGTTTCGAAATGAAGATGATGCCATTTATGTTGCCGAGTCTTTTAACCATCGAATAGTTAAATAATTGTCACGAATGTCAACTGGTCAAATGGTGGCTGGTGAAAAATATGAAGGTAACGGTGATGAACGATTAAATTTTCCTTCTAGTATTGTCGTCGATAAGAATGGAACGATGTTCATATGTGATCGAAATAATAAACGAGTACAGCAATGGTTTCAAAATGCGAATAGTGGTCAAACATTAAACTCGAATATTTCCTGTTGGGGATTGGTAATGGATAGCGAAGGATCTTTATATGTTTCTAGGGTGTGGGTGTGGGTGTGGGTGATGAGAAGATATCAACACCCAGACCCAAACCTAGACCCACATCCACACCCTTAGTTTATTAGAAACGGACAACATAAATAATCAAAGCCAAAAATGAAACCATTTATTTCGATAATCGAAAGCAAATGTGTCTGTTATCGATGAATGAATATGTTCCATTAGCCATTTTCGAAGCGTTTGATTTCCTTCTTCGGAGAGTGCACCTTCGATGCAGAGATAAGCATTCTGCTGTTGTTGTTTCCAAATGTTCAAAGCTTGCCATACAAGCGAATCGATGAGAATGCGTGAATCTTTTACAGAGAGAGTCATATTACGTATATGAGGAAATAGTTTAAAAATAGTATCCAATTGCAATTTATGAATATCTCGTAGGTGGAAAATTTCGAGAGAAGCTATTCGTTGCGGTAAAAGTTGATACACCGCTTCATTGTCTATTATTCTACTGAAGGAATCGAAATCAACTGACAATTCATGAAGACTAGAAGCTGCATTGAGCAAATGAAACAGTTCACATTTTCCTTCTACTTGAAGATATTTCAGTTGAGGTAAATGTAAAATCACAGGTTCAGTTAACTGCATCATACTAGCTAAAAGAAATAAAACAATTATAAGTGAATTTGTCAACAGAAGATATATCTTCCACCTGATGTTTTTTAATAAAATTTGAAAGCTGACAAGCAAAAAGATCGTTAATTCAAATTCTCATCAGGACGCTATTGACTGTCAAAGAAATAGAAGCAGGACTACACATAGTACGCCAATAATGCTTACTAATGTATGCTGCAGTTATATATAAACAACTATTTCCATTTTTCAGCATATCACTTCTCTATTTCTCTATAAATTATTAGGAAATACGTGTAGATTTGCTCTTTCCAACGATATGAACATTGAACAAACTGATATCATGATAATAGGCAGAAAAAGTGCGTAGATGAAGCTAAATCGAAGGATATCACCTTTTCACTTTTACCTTGATTCAATACTTTGACTTCACATCAAATATAAAACAGTAGATAAGAAATCTGTAGCATCAGAATAATTTCGAATCGTATTCAAAAGTATCATTCGCCACTCATCGATAATATTGTATTCGTATTGCGTAAGAACGCTATAAGGAAGAAAAATGTTGAACACTACAAATATTTTATAATACATTTCAATAGATTCGTATGTCAATGGGAGAATTTAGAAAAGAAATCTTATGGCATAGTCTGAGAGTGTTAATATAAAATCCTGATGAAAAATAAACTGCTAAGATTCTATCCAACTGGAATAAAGATATCTGTTTTGACGAGACGATTCTAGTATGTTCTCTAAGAGAATTTTTAAAAGTATTCGCTAAGTATCTTAGCGATACTGGTTAAATGTTTCGAAAAGTTTGTTTAGTTGCTTAGAATTTTGAATCGATGAAGAGTTCAAATATCAAAGATGTCCAAAATATTTGTTCATATAAATAAAAAAAAGTAATAGACTCATGTACAATATGTATTACGCGCTGTGAATCGTATGCATACATGAATACTAAAAACGTCGATTATATAAATATTGGTACATTTTCGAGATGAAATACCATGCAAAATTTCGTTAGAAATTGAATCTCAACCAATGAAGTCATTATACGTGAACGTCATATGTAAAACTTTGTTCATTCTAGCTAAAATATTTGATGCAGTATATCATGTATTCGATAAAATATGAGGGTGGGATATGCTGAAGTACCATGATATATAATACATCCTAAGAAATCTTGAGCTATTAGATCCTCGTAGTCCCTAGAACCACGTTAACATCGATGGATAAAAGATAGACTTCAAATACCAGCTCATTTTCTGCAAGATTTTATGTTTTATCTAACTCATTTGTTTACGAATGTTCATTCAATGAGCATGAATTATAAATTCACTCCTCGTTTCACTTCTATTTATGACGAATAGCCTAAGCTGCTAATACACGCACTCTTTGAAATAAATAGTACTTGTATGAAAGTTACATACGTTCTTCTGAATCATTTCTTATATTAATATTGAGTTTTCGGAGTCGATAGAAATGTTGCACAATCATTAGTACATCAATAGAAGATGATTCTCCATAAATCTTTAAATATTCTACTGGCTGCATATATTTCCAACCAGACATCATATATTTGCCTATAGATCCCGGTACTACTATTGAAAATACGTTATACGGTATTGTATGAATAATAGCATAATTCTGGAATTCATGTAACCAACATGATATTGGAATATGATTTGGCCATGTCGCAGTCAAACTATCCATCTTGACTTGTGATTCTGAGAAATAATAAAGAATGCACAATTGAATCTCAACCAAAGATGATGGTAGAATGGTGACAAGATTTTGTCCATTAACAACACGTTTGTCATCTGTAGATAGATCGAGCGTTAGCTTGTGTAAAGATGGCATCTTACGTAAAATATCAGCGATGTGGCTTAATTCCCAAAACATACCGATTGAATGCAACTCGAACTCCTTCAGATGAATCAGCGATGGTGCACTCATTAAACTTGTTAGTGATACACCTGGAGATTCTCCGAAAGTTATTTTCAAACGATGAATATTAGGTACAAGTTGGAACAAGTTTCCTATCATGTCGCAATTAATCAAGTTCAGTGTCAATTCTTCAATGTTCGGATACGAAACTTTTTCATTATTCGTATTCAGAGATAAATAGAGAGAGTCATAATCGAACAATACTGATTTAAGTCGACAATTATTAGCAGTCAAAACCTTTCCTAATAATTCGTATGAGCCTTTACCATCAAGACGTTTTACAACAAGTTTCACAAGCTGCTTGAGATCTCTTATATCATCAATAAATTCAAGCAGATCTACTTCAGTAAAGCAATCAAGTACTAACGTGTGTAGATTTGGGAACATTGACGACAAATCAAATTTGAAGCGCATCGGATGTAATTTATTTGATATAAAATTAGACCAGTGTTCATTGACTACAAATGATCGTATATTCGGGCCTATTTGAGGTAATATATTCGAAATAAGACAATCGAATTGTTGATAGGTAATACCACTGAGATTCATTTGATTACAAACATTAGTTATTGTTGTATTGAGACGAGTATTAAGATTAAAGAAAGAATAGACAATATCGACATAGCTCAAATATTGAAATACGTGTAATCGAATTTCTTCTGGTAAAATTTCAAAAACCGATATATTAGCCATCTAAAAGAAGTGTTCTTTTTTTGTCGTATTATTAATATGAAAAGAAAGAAAAACATCATATATTTAGCTCGAGAAAGGCATATGTTCGTAGGCAATGTTGCGCATGTAATAGACACGTCGAGCAAAGAAAGCGACGATAAAAATATCTTCTGTTTTGGTCTGAGCGTCGTAACGAAAAGAAACCCTAGAGATATATTTTACACCTATGTGAAGCGCAGAAGAAAAAAAAGCGAGAATCGCACATAGGTGCATAAACATCGCAAAAATTGCGTCTGAATTTTATCCACGTGGTTTGTTTCTTTCTTTGGTCGTCCGTTACAAACCTATAAAATCAAACGAATGTGGTGAAAATTGATCGAAGGCATATAATTACTGATTTTTGATAGTTTTTATCGACAATAAATGTATAAAAGTTCCAAATTCATTCGCAGTACTACTGATCAATAGATGTACTAAAATGAAGTTGAAATATAAAAACAAACGTTTTCTAATAAACACGAATAATGAATCAGTCTGCAGGTCTACTCATCGGTAACAAAATGCATAGTATGTTTTATATTCAATCTTTGAAAGGAGAAAATCATTGATTTAGTACTATGAACTGTACGAAATATGATTCGTTTTCTGATTTTTATTTCTGTTTAATTCTTTAGAGCAAATCGACTGTAGAAAGACGTAAGTTGTTGAAATGAGCATAATTTAAATTTGCACGTATGATAAGCAGAAAATGAACACATTAGAACTGATAGATTTCGTATGAAAATAACGAGCATGTTACGCAAGATATTGGTAGCAGATGTCATCATTTATGTCAGACAGAATACAATAATAGACATAAACGTAATAAACTTGATACGAGAAAGAAAGAACAATATAAATAAGAGTGTCGAAATGGATATTACATGAAGAATCCATAGTCTGTAGGATTATCTTGTTTATCAGAATATTAAAAGCGTCGAGTGGCATAACAACCAAGTGATTGCATAGAAGAAATTGATCTTCTAAAATAAACGACATTATTCGAGTAAAGTATAGTTTTAGGATGATCTAGTAGAATTTCTACTCTTTTGTCTGGTATTTGTCTAGATATACCTATACAAATTCTGCCACGAAATAGATCAAATTATTTTTAAAAGTTTTTTTTTAAAATTATATTTAACTTGATTTGAATTCGAACTAACAATAAGAGAAAATGAAAGAAAATAATGTACGTAAATATCAATGTGTGAAGAGAAGCATTTAGTGCAGGCTGATCTGGCAATAGAGTAGAATAGTTAGATATTATTTGTTTATAGATGCTCTACGTTAAATCTGTGGAAATTCCAATCCAACTTAGATAAGGATCAATAATATGATTCTGATAAAGTAATGTTGTTTGTTTATAATTTCATTTGATTGATACATGTTCTCGTAACCAAGATAATACATGCATAGCGTTTGTATTAAATAGAATTATTTTTTGTTCAGGTTTAGTATCATTGGAATCATATCCGAGTAATTGAGTATCTTATAGACCATGTTACCGATGATTTCACTCGTATGAAAGGAACGGTTAATAAAGGATATTCTTCCACTTTAATATTTATTCTAAATGGTTGAAGTAATTCTTCAATATGATCATTTAAAGCAAAATTTTCAAAATCAAATCGATTCATTAATTCGGTTGAATTGAATTCACCATTGATTATATTCGGACCAAAATAGAAATATTCCTTTATTGTTAAGTTCGCTGATGAAGATTCAACTTGATTTAAGGAACTACTATTTGAAAATGAATATATTTCGAAAAAAAAGTATATGCCAACTTGATTGACGTTTCGACAATTCAATAGGTGTTTGTAATGATAATAAACCTGGTGCAACAATAACAACATCAAAATTTTCTTTTTGTAATTGAATGAGAAGATGTAAAGCTGAAAGTATTGAAGAATCGATCGATGCATATGCTCCTGATAAATGTTCACTAGAAAAGTAAACATGTTGATCGAATAATTGTGTTAACGCTGCTTTTAGATTTTATTCTTCGTATAGTAAAAATAAAGCATAGGCATCGTGTGAAAATGAATCAGTACACCTTCGAATGAGATTAAAATTAAAAAAAAGAAATCTGTGGATGCAATTCAAATGTGAAAAATCGTGCTGCTAATCACAAGGATCGAATTCTATTTATGTTCGGATATATATTTCGTATCTTTCGTAATCCTTCACTAATGTATTCATATATTTATGTAACAAGACTTCACTGTTGATGTACAGTCTATAACTGTATAACAATAATATCTCTAATGATCTGTAGAGGAGAAAGTAGAGTAATTACAAATTTCTACGTCCTATAGCTCTACAATCTATTCAAATCAGACTTCATACGAAAAAACCCTTAAATAGCACATCAATGTTTAACAACAGTTCGTAGATAAAATTGTTGAATATCTGATAGTGAATGAATTTGTTCAAGATTCAATAGAGTTTCATTAGTTATTTGATCGATTGTTGATGATGACCATAATGTTGAATCTGGTGTAAAAATAAAAGATGCAAGTAAAACAGATTCCGTATGATTATTTGTATTATGTATTGTATTATAATTTTCATTATATATAAATCTTAATGATAAATCAATTGTTGATGAATCTCCGTATATATTTTGATTATACCACCAAGAATGATTGAAATATAAAGCGACTTTACTTGCACAATCATAATAAAATAGTCTTAATGCTCATAACATTTTTTTAAACCTTGATTATCAATAGGTTTATAATGAATAAAACAAGCAGCACAAACTGCTGTTGCAACAAAACCACGATCGAATTTCGATATATCGATGGTATGCGTTGTATTTTTTGTTGTTATATTTACAGTTTTATCTTTATTCTTGTAAAAAAGCTAAAACTAAAGTTTAATAATTTATTTGGCATGACACATTTAATGATTCAGTAAAACAATTGTTTCCGCCGATAATATGATAAAATTTCGTATATGCATATATACGAAATGCATCACGAAAATTGAAATGTTAATGCTGTAAATAGATATGTTTCAATATTAAACATTAAACTAATACGATCAATTATGAAATTTGATAGATCAAAATTCAGTTAAACATTATCTTACATTATATAATCCATATTTATCAACAAGAGCATTCCAGTCATTATTAAAAAATAAATCAGATAACCGTTTAACTGCTTCATTCCATCGATCCGTACCTTATTTTGTTGCGTGATAAAATGCTGAGAATATTTGCAACGAATACAATATGTGTTCTCCTCTTTCAGAGGCTAGATAATTTCATTTCAGAATTACGGAAAAGTATAAATAATTTCATATTTTAGTCTTACGTCTCAAGCTAAGCCTAGGGTAATATTAAATCTAAATAAGATTCCTCATGTCAAATCTGATCTGAACAAAAGATAAAAAGGCATTGACTAAATTATGTATACATTGAAAATTGTTTTTAAATAGTACGAAGACATAAAACGATGAAATCACAACACAATATTGAAAAAAATTCATTAAATGAGATAACAGTCAAGCATGTTAAGCTAGTGTTAAAAACTTGTTTCTTTCGGAATGTTAGCTATTTGTGTTCTTTTAGCTTCTGTTGGCCCTATCGGATGGATTTCTCTTGGATTTCGGGTAAACAGAGCTCGTATTTGAGGTGTTGAAAATGTCAAAACGACAGTTTGAAGTGCCACATCCATGGAAGCAGTGAAATATTGTACAAAATAAGCAAATGATATTGTATATTGCGTAATCCAATAGATGAAAAGAATAATAACTGCCGGCGCACCAAACAAACTCATAATGAGGAGAATCAGGAGTATTCGTTTGAGAACCATAATATCTCGTTGGTTTGAATTTATTCATTGCTGTTGAAGATGGCTTGTTCGACGAGTAAATCGAATGATAGAGATATAGATTGAAAATGTGGTACTGATCGGAAACGAAAAAGCGCTTACAAACAGTAAAACAAATGCAGATGTATTATGAAAAGAAACCTGACAATTTCCTTCACTTGGTAGATATTCTATATAGTTCAATATAAGTTGTGGAAGTGCAAGTAAGATCATTATTGACCATTGTGCAATAATGGCATAAACAAAAAAGCGAAACGTTTGTAGACTCTTTTGTCTATAGAATATCACTCGAAAGCATCTAAATAATGCTTGAGGGTACATATGAATCATATGCAGCATACATAAAAACGCATAGAAGATAAGCTCGTATGTCGAACCAATCACTATCGGCATTAGAAAACGGGAAAAGATCACCATATAGAGTACTAGCATAACATTCAATCAATATGAGATAGGACATTAATATAGATACATAAGTGTTACATGTTAATAACACGTCAATATTTAATTTCAATCGACGGTAATTAATAAGAATAACAGTGAGAACTACGATAGGTAATAAAACATCCAAGCACAATGTGATTAACATAATAACACGGATCGCAGCGTCCTGATTTTTCCTGTGGGGGACGTCCTATTTGAAAATTTTTTTCGCTGAGAAAAATCAGGACGCTGCGATCCATGTAATAATGCCGAGAACTACTTTTGAATCCATGTTATTCATAGAATATGGTGTGCCAGTGGTCTATTGTATAAGATTTTGAATTGTTCATGTAGAAGTCAATCTGACATGCTATCTTCTCATATCGATCTTAAAAAAAGTCCAGATACAATATTCCCAGGCAAGCAAAAAAACGAGAGGATTGGCGACATGTCTAGTCCGAAACGTCCACAACATCCATCCTGACTAGTTTAAAATACTGAATGTAGCCGTCAGAACTGGTCAGTATTTTAAAAAGCGACATACTAGCAGGGCTGGACTAGTCTAATATTTCCGAAATATATGCCAGGACTAGTCTGAGATATTCTAGGGACTAGTCAAGTCTAGTCCTAAATATTTGATGTCAACGTCAGGATTAGTCAGTGTCTTATGAGGAAATATAATGACGGGACTAGACTAGTCTAATAATTTTGAAATACATGTCTGGACTAGTTTGAAAGATCCTGAGCACCAGTCAAGACTACCATGTTTTATTAAAAATGATATTTTGTCTGAACCAGACTAGTCTGAAATTCAGTATGACATCTTGCGTTGATAGTTGGTTATATCTTTAATACCCGTCAATTCTAGTCTAATTACAGAAACTTAATGTAATGTTGAGTTTGAATTAGTGGCTCGTTTGTGGAAATTCTTTGTCACCTTCAATTCAATACATCCTAGCAGGTATTCATAACCTAAGAATAACAAAGCTGCAAACTTACATTATGAAAAACACGACTGTTTAATTATCTAAGATTCTACAATGGTGTAGTTTATTTATCGATTATTAATTATCAAAATTTTTTTATTAATAAGGAAAATTTATTGAATTCGAAATGCTAAAAATCATTAACTTCGATTTGTCCTTGTCTTTAACTGTTTTTATCATATAGAACAGAAAAAAGAAAAATAATTATTATTGTCATATTTTTGTTGTCGTAAGATTACTGTTCATTAAATTATAAATTGTACGAATTTTCATCAACAATATTATTAATTTGATCAGTCATATTTATAAAGAAGAAAAAGTTTTTTTTTTATTTGATTGTATGTAGAACATCTGAGATTGATAATTAAATCGCTAATTTATCTAATTGATTCTTTAATTTTTTTTGTCGAGTATTCAAGCAACACGTGACCGAATATTGACATATATATCATTGATTTCGCAATAGAAACAACGCTCTCTTTAACTCTCTTCTTCTTCGTCCTCTTCTAAACATACATAAAGAAGATTTCACAAAGACCTGTTTTGCCCATGGCTTAATTTGAAGAATGTTTAAAACAAAAAAAAACATGTGAATGAATTTTTCTAACGACTAGACATGCATTATTGAATACAAGGCTTCGTTTATTATTAACGATTGTGTTTGTTCGTCAGAGGATGTGAATCGATTTTTTTGTTTAAGTTTTTTTCGTTTAAGATTTCTAACGAACGTTATGTCTTGTGACACACGATCTGAAAGGAGTGTTGAAGTGTATAGGATAGAAATTTTAGACCTACTCCCCTTGCTCCCCCCTACAGATCGTGACAGAGACAATCCATACCCATCACAGACAGTGATAGAAGGGCTCCAAAGACCATCACAGACCGTGACAGAGAAAATTCAAATTTCTTCATTCACAATATAAAAAGCTCCATCGTGTTTCACATTTTTAATCCCGCAGGGATTGCGCTGAAAGCTTTTTCTATTCGATGATTATCCGTCGACATTTCACCTTTCGATATTTCTCTCTTCGATATATTTCTTTTCTACATTTTTTTTCGATATTTTTCCTTTCTATGTTTTTCTTTTCTTTCTTTTTCCATCATACCCCTATAGCATCTCACTGCATTTGCAAAAAAGGATCAATTCCTTGCCGAGATTCAGATGGTGAGAAAGAAATTAACAGAGAGAAAGGATTAGCGAAGGCACGAGAGAAAGAGAGAAAAATGTATGTTCTTCCTCTGCAAGAAACATTGAAATCATATTGAATTTTGCATTCGACGACGACACATACTCGAACAAGGTGAGTCTGTTAAACAACAGAGCAAAGTTTCGCCATTCACTCTGACGGATATTCTAGCTCTCTCCATACCGAGACTCGGGTGTGCATCTTGTTTTTATCCATATCCCCCGCTTCTGTCCACACTCACACTGAGACCCACATACCCACACCCCAAGAGGAAAAAGCGAGACTCCTGTACTCCGGAGCACAGGTAAAATACAGTTGGAGTACAGCTGGAGTACAGCAATTGTATTCCACCTGTACTACAACTGTATTCCAACTGTACTCCTGAGTACAGGAGTCTCGCTTTTGCCCCCTTGCCCGCACTCACATCCATACCCACACCCTTCACACTCACAACTTCAGCCAGACGCTACATAGAACCACTTTCTTTCTGAGGAAGTCGCAATACATTTTTAACTATGATGCTTATTTTTGGAATCCCACACAGGGAAAATAAATATTGAGGCAGCCATTAAAAAATGAATTGCAAAGAAATATGGCTTCGTTGTTTTCACATGGTTGATGCATTTTGTTTTCTATTTAAAAAAAACACTTCAGTGTATGAAAGATGTGCGCCATTCACATAAACAGTTTTTAAAATATAACAATAAATGCGAACTTTCTATAGAAACAACATAACACAGCGAGTATCAAAGAGTTGAAAATATTTTAGACATAAATACAAATTCATTCTGATTTTTCGATATCCGTCAGCAGCACTGGTTAGAAAATTTCAAACTACATCAACCTCATCGATTACTCATTGGAGCCTAATTTATGTGTAGTATTATTAAATTTTGATCGTATCAACCATGTTTAGATATTTATAACATCTTCGATACGTTACCTGATCCTTTGTATTGACACGGATAGAAGCACATGATCTAATAAATAGTTTCACTAGTGGTATATGACAGAGGAACGTATAAGATGATTGGTTTTACGAATGGAGGCACATGAATGCTGCTATTCTAGTATATACTTTGAGACGACTATACTAGACAAAACATGTTCATCTTGGTTCGGCATCAACGCTATCATCATCGACTTTTGACACATGCACTCTTTTCTATGTAAATCAAGCGTATCATCATTTAGTCACTAGATAATTTCATAAAGTAGCCGTTTCGAATAAAGATATAGTTGTACATGTCGACAGAAATTTTTCTCTAACTGTAAGATAAAATCTCTTACCTCATATCCATGAATTCACATTTGTTAACAGCCATATACACTAACAAGGTAAAACATATACAAAAACATATTCCATGGAAACGATGAACTAGATCGAGTGGATCGACGTTAACGTCAGTAATAATATTTGTTAGCTACTTCAGATGTCCAGAGAATATATACTTTATACTAAACATAGTCTTATACACGAGACAGACTAAGACAAAGATATTATACACAGGAAAAAGAGAAATCAATACTGGACGACGCCGATTTTGGTACATTCAGTAACTGTTAAAGAATGAAGAGGAAAAAACGGTAGAATAAGAGTGTTCTAGCTTGTCAAATATTGTATAGGAATTTGTAAACACATTTAATGTTGTTTTCACTCTTCAAAGTGAGTGCAATATTATATGCGAACTTAACAAAACTGTCAATAGTTTCTGGTAGCTTCTGCTTTCAGGCATATTTAAACCATTAGAACAGCGATAAAAGCTTAGGTAGTGAACTCTGAGTGACTACATGTGTGGAAATGATTTGAATAGGGTTAGAATCGATCGACAATCTTTACATGACTCGCATCGAGACGACGTATCACGCTTAATCATACATTTACACTTACACTCGAGTTCAAATCATACCGTCGCTGCATGTCGCAAAGAAATCGTTAGACAAAATTCTCGTGCAGACTGCAGTTAACACAATGAGAAAACTTGGCATCTACACTTTAAAAAAACCAGGCTTTGTACGAAGCGTTAACGGATTCTTCCCGCGAATACACAAGATGCTTCTCTTTTGGTTTCGTAGAAAAGGGGTTCTGTACTGCACCTTCCAATGAAAATCTGAAAAAACCTCTCGTACTTCGGATTTCTTTGGGACATGTTTAAAGAAATGAAGAAGATGTTCTGTAATAACGTATCTCTTTTCCTGCTGCAATTTGAAAAATAGAAAATCACAAGAAACACCCAAAAATTACTTTACTACTTACGTCTTACTAAATACTTTAAGGGTATTTAGGACTCAATTCCGAATATCCCAGGGACGCTCGGTATTTGTAAGTACCTAGAAGCTTTTAATACCCTTTCCTACGTTGCCCATCGATACGCAATCCTTACTCGTGAGTGCCCAGGTACATCCAATACCCATTCTTTTTGAACCGCAGGCGTCTCTAGATTCCTCTACCAAGCGCTATGGAGGTACCTGATAGTTACTGGTAACTACTTGGAGGTATCCGGGATCCATTCCTCATAAGTACCGTATTGTTAGATGCGACCAACTTGTCAGGACCTAAGGCTGTTTTTCTAGACTGAAAGATTAGGATCTGGTAACGGAAATTCACCTATGTCTGTCTGCAACATATGATCCTTTGGACAAATACTCCGTTACAAAGGTCCACAACTATGGTGTGAAGAACCGTAGCTGTAGTACTTTCAAAGAAAACTGTAGTCTTTCGACCACAACTGTGATAAATAGGCCCAGAACTCTGCGCCAGTAGGCCATATTCATGGCCTAAAGAACCATAACAGTGGTCCAATGGACCAAAAATAATGGTGAGAAGGACCATAATTGTGATTCATTAGGCGGAAAGAATGCTACAAAGGACCAGAACCATGGTCCTTCGGACTATAGCTGTGGTTATGAGGGTCAAAATCGCGAACCAAACGATCATTCATATAATACGAAGGAACATAATGATGGTCCTTTGGACAAAACGACGGTACAAAGAGGCATAATTGTGGTGCTTAGAAACGTAAGCAATAGTAAGTCAGTACCCCAATCGCGCTCCGAGAAACCAAAAACAATGATATGAAGGACCATAATTGTGGTCTGTAAGATCAGAAATGTGCTGCTAAAGGTTAAAGTTCTGCTCTAGAGGACCATAATTACGGCACGAAGAACCGTAATTATGGTAATCTACTCTGCATCAAAACATTGTTAAAAAGAGTCATAATTTTGGTATTAAGGATCTTAGTTGCAGCAGACAGTACCGTAATGGTGAACGAACGGATGAAACAGTCTTTGCAGTATGAAGGGCTGTAATCATCGTCCTTCACACCCGAAAAATCGTACGAAGCACAATAGCTATCGTCCAGATTGAAAATGGCTTGGGTACAAATAACTATGGTCGTGAGGGTGTGGGTGTGGGTGTGGGTGTGGGTGTGGGTGTGGGTGTGGGTGTGGGTGTGGGTGTGGGTGCGTGTGGGTGTGGGTGTCGGTGTGGGTGTGGGTGTGGGTGTCAGTCTTCTCTTCATCCACACCCACACCCACACCCACACCCACACCCACACCCACACCC